TCTGATGGTTGAATAACCTAGATAACATTAAAAACAACAAATATCTTTGTTGTTGAGCTTATTTGTCAATTTATTCAATAGTTTAGCAGCAGGAAAGGTTTTTGAATTGAAAATGTTGCTTATTTTTTTGCTATAGAGCGTTTCTTTTTTTATTTATTTAACATGAAGTATTTAAAGGCAGATGGAGAGCATTTAAGCAGACAAAAACAGTCCAACAGTAGCAGCACTTAGAACTGGATCTTTGTTAACAGGAGTGGCTGTGGCCTGTTGGCTATTTTCTCCGTGCAAAGCTCTACTTTGCCAAGAAGTTAGGGGAGGAGACCTACTCCAAGACCGTCATCCTAGTGAAAAATGTTCTGTCACAACATTACACCCACTTGGAGAGGTAATAGTTTTCAATTTCCATCTTCAGGTTTTTATTCTAGTATGATACCATTCAACCTTCATCATATTGTATGTGGCTTTCATTATAAGTTGTTTCATCCTGTGCTGCCTCAGGTCTCCATGGAAAGGCTTACCAGAGCTGACCAATGAAAATGGCCAGCATTGCCCCTTCAGCTGTGAGACCCAGGCCTGGTCTCTGGCTACTGTGCTGGAGGTGCTCCATGATCTGTAGAGATCCCATGAAGCTGTGAGCCACTCCCCTCCTCTGACTCATTGTCTGTCATCACAAAACTTTTTTGTAGGATCCCTAAAGAATCCAAGGAACAATGACATCGTCAGCCAAGTTTTCCAGAATAAGTATTGTAAGGTAACCAGGTTATTGTATCAAAGCATTTTAAGGTTAAAGCATTTTTCTCTCTCCCTGGCCCTGTTTAAGGAATCAACAAAATGCCATTTTGATCCAGTTGATCTCAAAATTTAAAAAGGTTTACAGTGGTTGTCACATTAATAAAAATTTAGACAGAGATAACACTGGAAAGCACCTGAGCTGTGTTATTGTACACGTACAGTTCAGACCAACACACACTAGATCAGCGGATTATTACTATAGTAAAGGCTTAATTTAATGAGGACTCAGGACACAACAGCTAGGAACCATTTTGGTTCCTTTTTAGGGACTGTACATGTTCCTCAAATGAGCAGCGTTCCTAATGTTCCTAGCTGTACTTAGCTGTACCTAGCTGTTCCTTTTTAGGACCTTTAAGACTTGTCCCTAAAAAGGAACAGTGTTCCTAGCTTCAGTGAATGTTGTTTTCTCCTGAATTCTTACTTTTGCTAGATGTTGAGGATTTTTAATTGAATCATGATGATACTGACCTGAGACCTCCATCAGTTCAGGTCAGGTGTTTGTGATGTTAAAGCACAAGATAGCTCTGCTAACTAAACACTGTGGAACTGGGTACCATCTGCTAATAAATGATCTAGAGTTGTTATCTTAAGTTTTCTAACCTGGTGATGGAAGCTGTACTTTTTGTCTAATTTCTTGTGTATTTTAGGAAAATAATTTTAACAAATTAAGTTGAAACAGAAATAACCTGAGTAGTAAAAAAAAATCTTTATCTATTATCTTGTTTTCAGCCTTCATGTTTTATGAAAAATGTGATTCTATTGTTGAATGTCCCAATGGAGAGCTTAGCTAACATTCTCTCCATGTTCTTCCACACTGAGACGTTTTAAAAGGCTAAACTGTTATGGTGTTAACATTTCAGAACATTTACACACTCTTGTGCTGTTGTGTGACCACATACAGTGTCGATTTCATGAAGCTGTGCAGTGCATCTAACTTTTCTCTAACAGCGACACATTTAAACCACACGCGATTTTAGACAATATTCAAGGGTTTCTATGGAGAACTGCTGGATGCTATAGATATATACTGTTGTTACATACATCTGGATGGTCAGTGTTGTTAACTGTAAACTAGATAGAAACATGCTGAATAAACTGTTACAAGACTAAAATGTGTGTATTGATAATTACAGTTGGCTTTTTTAAATATCCGAGCTGTTGAAAGAGAAGGCAAAGGTCAATGAGGTAGTGATGGCTAAATGAAGATTCATGAAGCAATGAAGCTTCCCAGCCCATTGATTTGCCCAAAGGTTCATTACTCGGTGGTTCATTCGTTCCTCACTAGTGACATCTGCTGCTGAAACTGCGGCAGCCTTGACACTCAGATAGACGTTCTTCAAAAAATTAGTAAATGCAATATTGTGAATTAAATCCTATATAACTGTAATCTTGTTCAGTTATTAAAATTATTTGTAGTCATACTAATCCTGGTATATGTTGGCTGTCAGTGGCTGTTTTCTTTCATGTCACAGACAGATTTGACAATAAAGACATTTGTTTTAGTGTTTTGGGAGTGAAGTGCTTGTTGGGGTGGTCAGTATTTTTTGAGTTTTGATTTGCCTCCTGAAAAACTGAAGTTCTTCAAAACTTATATTTTTCTTGGATTTCTAGTTGACTCCCTAATATTCTTAATCCCCAGGGCAGATTTTTACTCTTCCAACAACTTTAAGTCTATTTCTGCTGTGCAAGACTGATATCTTTACTGATCAAATTAATAGTGGAAATTTCGAGAAGATGAGAATTTTGGAGGTGAAGGGGTTAATTATTTTCATTTAAAAATCTTGTGAATGATCATCTCAAAGTATTCCCAGATGTCA